CAAAAACAAAACAAAACAAAAAACAGCTTTGTTGAAAAAGCATACAATACTTTTAATATAATCAAAGAACTGCTCACCACAATTTTAGAAGGTTGTATCACTCCAAGAAGAAATCTTAGACCTTTACTTACTGCTAACACCCCATCCTGTCCAGTCTTAAGATTTCTATGTACAAATACAATGGTCTTTTATGACCAGCCTCTTTCACTTAATGCTTGTGGTTTCTGTCTTCTAATTATCTACATTCCATATGTACCATTCCATATGTACTATCATTCCATATGTACCTATGGCACACGTGTTGGTCTTTTAAGACAAAATTTATTTTTTTTTTTGCGGTTATGAGCAGAATGTATTTATTGAGAGAAAGCAAGCTCCTGTCCAACAGAGGGACAGGAGGGGGGCCCGAGTGGGTAGTTCTCCAAGACAAAATTTATTAATCTATGAGTTTTCTCTAAAGCCTCAGTATTCAGGTTTAATTGCAGCGTTGACACTTTGTAATAAATAAGTAGGTTTCAACTGATTATGGTACATAATGTAGCATTATATTTTATGGCTAATATTTCACTGTATGGATATACTACATTTGGATTTTACATTTGTAAGTTAGCACTTGGATTTTTTTTCACCTCTTGATTATAAGTAATACTGTTATGAATATTCACATGCATATATATATTTTTTAAATTTTATTTATTTATGTGTGTGTGTGTGTGTGTGTGGCCAGCTCAGCCCAGCAGGGGGCGGGGCTGGCTGGCATGTGGTGCTGGGGGATTGAACCACAGTCCCTGTGCTTTGCTAAGCTTGTTCTAAGCAGGTGCTTTAGACCACTGAGCCATCTCAGCAGCCCCGACATGCATATATTTTTATTCCTCATAAGTGCATACCTGTGCCTAGTTTCAGAATTAAATGGTAATTTAATCTAATTTTCTTGAGAAATTGCTAGACTGCTTTCCAAAATAGCTACACTATTACCACCAGTATTGTATGAAGGTCCAAATTTCCCCCACATCCTCATCAAATTTGTGAGATTTTATTATAGCCACTGTATAGGGTGTAAAACAGTATTTCATTGTGTCTGTATGGGGCAGTGCTAGGCACTGAATCTAAGGCGTCATGCTCTATACCACGGAGCCATAACCACTACCCCTTATTGCTGTCTTCAATTCGTATTTCCTAATGTCTAATGATGTTCTGCATCTTTTCATTTGTTTATTGGCTATTTATCTTCTTTGGCAAAATATCTATTTAGATCATATAGGTGTTTGTCATATGTCTCTCTTTTTTGTGGGGGGTACCAGAAATCGAACTCAGGACCTCATGTTGGCCAGGCAGGCACTGTACCACTGAGCTGAACCCCCAGTCCAATATGGGCATTTTAAAACTGGGTTATTTGTTCTTTTAAATTGTAAGCATAGGGCTCGCCAGATAGCTCAGTGGACTAGCATGCCTGCTTAGGCAGAGCACAGCAGCCAGGGTTCAATCCCCGGCATGTGGTGCCAGCCCCACCCCTAGGGTGCACTGAGATGGCAGTTGAGACTGGGCATGGTGATGAGTGCCTGTAATCCCAGCTCTTGGGAGGCTGAACACAGACAGATCACTATGAATCCATCTACATAGTGAGACCCTGTACTAAACATAAATTGTAAGTATAGTTTATTTACATTCTGGTTGTAAATCTCTTTTCAGATACATAATTTATGAATACATTTCTCTTTCAGTATCTGTAGGAAATTGCTTCTAAGACCTCCTATGGATAACGCTGCTGGAACTGTAGGCATGTTCCATCACACACTACTCCCAGTTCCTTCTTTTTATTCATTTTGAGACAGGATCTTGCTAAACTGCCCTGCCTTACCCTCCTCCGAAGTGGGATTACAGGTGTGCATCACCACGCACATCAAGGCTTTCACTTTCTTGAAGTATATAGATTTTATCTTGGCTATTTGTGTTTCAGTACCATACTTAAGAAAACATTTCCTAATACAATTTCGTGAAGATTTACCACTATTTTTTCTAAGAATTTTATAGTCTTAGCTTTTAAGGTATTGTAACTATTTTGAGTAAATTTTTCGATATTGTGAGTTGGAGGTTCAACTTTATTGTCATGTGGATATACAATTATCTCAGTACCTTGTTTAAAAGTCGATTCTTTCATTGACTTACTCTGGCAATCTTTTCAATAGTATCATTTGTTTATTTATTAATTAATGGTTTTTGGTTTTGGCCGGCTTGGCCTCCCTGAGGACGGGGCTGGAATGGCACATGGTGCTGGGGATTGAATCGCAGTCCCCTATGCCTACCTAAGCTTGCCTAAGCAGGTGCTTCAGACCACTGAGCTATCTTGCTGGCCCCAGTACCATTTCTTTAGAAGTCCATTTTCTTCTCATCAAATTGTTTTGTCACCCCTGTCAAAAATCAATAGGCCAGAGACTGGATGTGGTGGTGCACACCTATAATCCCATGTGCTTCAGTGGCTGAAAACAGGAAGATCACTACAAGTCCAATCTGTATAGTGAGACCTTGTACTAAATACATTAAAAAACAAACAATAGGCCATACATGCAAGGATTTTTTTAATTCTTAAGAGTCTGAATATATGTACCACTTAAAATTAATGCATTGAAATCTCAATCTCCAAGGTGATGGTAATAGGAAATGAAGCCTTTAAGAAGTGATGAAGTTGCTCAGTGGGAATAATTCTTTTATAAAAGAGAAATGAGGGCCACCCCTTTTTCCACATGAGGATGCATTAAGCACACATCTTCTGTAAATGAGATAACAAGCCTTTAAAAGATAGTAAATATGCCAATACTTTGATCTTTGACATCCATCTTCTGGAACTGTAAGAAATTTGAGTTGTTCTGTTCATAAGCCACCCTTCTTATGAAATTACTATAGTAGCCCAAACAGACTAAGACAACTTCCAATTCTATTTCCCAGATAAATACATGTCTCCTATGTAGCACCACTTAAGATTTTTTTTTTCCTTTGTTTTTTGAGATAGGGCTCACTATGTATTTCAGGCTGGCCTTAAACTCACCATATAATCCAGGATCACCTCAGCTCGAGGCAATTCTCCAGGCACAGTCTTCCAAGCCTGGGATTACAGGCATATGCCACCACACTCCACTTGTGTAAATTTTGGAAGTGAGTCCTTCAACTTTACAAATATTTTCATTTAATTCTTAATGCAATTTTGGGTAATAAGTATTATCCCTATTTTATAAATGAGAAACTAAGACTTAGTTTAGCCTCGGGCACAAAAATATCTGATGGTTATCCCAAGATTATACTTATATCAACAATGGATATACTCTTCTATAATATAATGCCAAACTACTTTTCAGACTTCATTTACATCAATCCTTCAATGTACCCTAAAATTTCACTTTCCTTCCTATTTTTCATCTGAAGGCCTTCCCCCCCCCACCCCCCTTTAATGTATGGTTGTTGGCACAGAGTTTTACTATGCAGCTCAGACCCATAAAATAGTGATCTTACTGTTTTCGGCCTCCCCAGCGCTGAGATTACTGGCCTACGCCACCATACTCACTTTGGCTGGTTCAGCCCACCCTAGGGGTGAGGCTGGCGTGGCATGTGGTGCCAGGGATCAAAACACAGTCCCAGCACTTACCTAAGCTTGTCTAAGCAAGGACTGTAGTCTGCTGAGCTATCTCACCAGCCCAGCCTTGCTCTTTGTTTCATAATATTTTTGTTTCTTTGTTTTTTGGTGCCAGAAATCGAATTTTGGGACCCTGTGCTTGCCATGTAGGCACTCTACTGCTGAGCTATATCCCTGGCCCTGAAATTTCATACTGTTCCAGAAGATGGAAGTCAAAGATCAAAGCACTGGCATATTTGGTATTTTTTAAGGGCTTGTTTTTCATAAAAACATTTGTTTCCTATTTTTTAAAAAATGTATTTAGTACAGGGTCTATAGGGTCTCATTACACAGATTAGATTTGTAGTGATCCTCCTGTTTTCAGCCTCCCAAGCACTGGGATTACAGGCGTGCACAACCACACCTAGTTTCAGTCACCATCTCAGTGCACCCCTGGGTGGCAGGGCTGGCATGGCGAGCTGGGGATTGAACTCTCTCCCTGTACCTGCCTACGCAGGTGCTTTACTCCGCTGAGCTATCTGGCCGGCCCTGTTTCATAAAATTTTAATTCAAAATTCTTTCGTTATCAGTTATCAAAGTGATCACTGTATTTCCTTAGCAGAACAAGCCTGTCACATGTTTGTTGTTCTACATTATATTGTTCAATAAAAGTATCTCTATAGACATACTACTTCTCTTCCTACCTTAAGGACCATATTCACCTATCTCTCTAAAGCAGTAACACCGTACCTTTCACATAGTAGGTGTTGTTTCAAATGAATAAATGAGCTGGGCATGGTGGTGCATCCTTATAATCCCATCTGAGGCAGGAGGATCACTGTGAGTGTGAGAGGCCAGCTTGGGCTACATAGTGAGTTCAAGGCCAACCTGAATTGCAAAGCAAGACTCTGTCTCAACAAAACAAAACAAAACACACACACACACACACACACACACACACACACACACACACCAAAAAAACAAACAAAAGAATAAATGGATTCAAAATTACCTCCATAAGAGTAGGCAATAAGGGCAACCCACTCAGGTCCCCTTCTGTCCCTCTCTTGGAAAGAAGCTTTCTTTTTCCCAATACATAATTTTCTGCTCTTAAGCTTCATTGTTCTTAAAATTCATTCTTCAGTTTTAGAGAATATGAACTCATCCCAGGTATGTTTCAGGTTGGGAGTTTCATTTACCTATATCATTGGAGGTTCCACCAAGATCATTGGACAGAGTGCATCATTAAGCATTGGAAGATGTTTGACCCTTACGTGTTGAGAAAGAGCTGCAAACTGTGCATGTCCTACTACCCCCTAGAGTCAAAATGAAATACAGAGGTACCAAAAAATAACCTACCCACATTGATAAAGGCAGATCTTTATTCACTCTACAGATTCAATGACCATGTCTTCTTGAAACATTCTCACAGATACACCCAGAAATATTTTATCAACTATCTAGGTATACAGAGCCTGCTCAAGTTGACAAAATTATCACACATACTGTTTAAAAAAAAAAAAAGAGTAGGTAATGAGTACCTATGTGTATGCTGGGGCGGCAGATTGTATGTATCTAAAACTGGCAAAGTTTAAAAAAAAATGGCAAAGTTGTAGAAATGAATACCTCAGAGTGTTATAATACTCAGAGTGTTATAAGAGAAAGACATGAGACATGGCAGGACCAAACACAGAGCTGATGCTAATCTTCCATTTCAAAGTATTCAGTGCAAGTGAATAGTATTTGCAAGAAATAAGATAAAACAAATGATTTAAGAAGCCTCAAAATAGTTAGGTACAGTGTAGTGTGCACTTGTAGTTCCAGCTATTTGGGAGGTTAAGCTAAGAGGATCACTTGAGGCCATAAGTTCAGGGTCAGCCTGGGCAGCATAGTGAGCTCTGTCATTAAAACAAACGAACAAACGGTACCCTCAAAACTGAATTTACTGTGGTATAGAACAGGAAATAATGTCAATGAATTCAGGTAAAGTTTGATATAACATGGGATAACTCAAATATACCACCAAGTCCACTCTAGGGTCAGAGTTCCCCAAAAGACAATAGGAAAACAAGATATATCTCTGGGTGGGGGGCAGGAAATAAGAGAGTGCGCTAATCCTTACAACCTTCCTCATGCTCCCAAAACTTCCCTGACTTGTCCATTCCCAGATCACTTTTAAGTCATCAGCTTCTCCAGTTTACCCCAAATGCAGGAAAAGAAGAATCATTATCAGAACAATATGGTGGTTCTTATTCTTCTCTTCAGTGCCATCTGGTTCCAGTCAAAAAGTACAATTATTCACAAAGTAAACTATTAGGAACTCCAGACTATTAGAAAGACCGACACAAGGGCTTTTTGCCACCTACTAACTCTAGACATCTCTCCTTAGAAGCTACTTATGGCTAACCTCTTAAAAAATCAGTTATATCATACTGGTATTCCCATTCAGCTTAGACTCTTTATCTGGACAGTGAATGAGATTTAGAACAAGGTATGTTTTAGCATTGGCAACAACCTGGCAGGTGCAGTACAATTTTATCATAGCTTCCCCATTTTCCAAAAATCTAGTTAGGATCTGGCTCAGCCATTTAATCCCCACCATCTATTTTCTCTTCTAATTGCTTCTCATCTAGTTGGCAGGAGCTCCCGTGAAATATGATGTAGTAGGCACTGCAGTACACTGGCTGCTTGTTTGGGTTCGAATAGACCTGTTCAGGCTTCAGGGATGCAAAAGGATTAGCTCCGTAGGCAATGATATGTGTATCCAGGTTCACCAGAATCTGCAAAGAGGCTGCCAATTCCTGATGGCTATGGGAAAGAGATAAGAAAAATTGTTCTAGTGATTATGAGAGAGAATAGTAACTGCTCAAAAGTATGACATTTTTGTTCTTATCAATTCTAAAAATTACCCAAGGCTGGACTAGGTAAGGACTAGTCCTTCTTCCCAAATGGCTCATTAAATCCGTAATTAAGCAGCATTTGGGATGAAAGGGCCACATGTGGGAAGGAAGAACATCTTCACAAGAAGGTAGATAAGCAAGGGAAAACAAAATTAACTCTTCAATATAAAGAGTGGTATGAGTGCATCAAGAAGGCATCACAAATAGGAATAGGTCAACACCTGTAAATGGTAAGCAATGTAGGGATTTTATAGTCACGAAGTAGCAGCAAGGTAGGTAGCCAAGCTTCCATCAAGGTCGGAGAGGCATGGAAACCTATGGAACAAAAATAGAAATAGAAATAGCCAGAGGAAAGACAGAGGTATAAACAAGTCATTTACAAGCAAACACTTCTTTCATTGTGTCTTCTCCAGCCCTTAAGTATGTTGCTAACCACCCTCATCCAGCCCAGGTTCTCCAGTGAAAAAATTCTCAACCCTGATATAGTATATATAGCAAATAGTGAATCAAGGTTTTCATCACACAGTATTTAACAAACCCAAATGAATAGGGTTCCAAAGACAAAAAGATAAAACAATCAGCATAGAAAATTTTCATGGAGCCATCTGGTATTCCTGTGAAGCAATGGCTCTTACCTGGATGGAAAGCCACTACCATATCCGGATGGGCTGTCTTTCCAGTCTCTACCTGTTCTTCCCAGAAATCATGATAAAGGCCCCTGTGGCCACTAATGTGAATGGTGCCAGGTACTGGAGTTGACGTTGCAGTACTCTGTAAAAAGCTAGTAGCCACATCTACACCCACCATGATCACATGGAAGCCACAATGTCCAGGAAACATGTAGCCAAGCTCATTATAGTCCTCAGAATGAGTGAGAAATGTCTCCACATGAGAAGCACCAACCACATGCACTGTGCTTCCTTCAGTCTTTCCAGTGCTTATCCCCAGAGCTCTAAGTCCCAGGCCCAGAGTCAAGGGTCGTGACAAGGTATCTGTCAGCAGCCGCTTCAGAGACCCCCGCAGAACATCTGGGTCTGGCCTTGGCCTTCCTACACTGGCCCAGAGGATGCTCATGGCATGGCTACTCAGCACAGCATCCAGTGTAGCCTCTAGCTGTAACCCTCTCATAGAAAACCAGACATCCCAGTCCTGCACAACATCAGCTGGGCATGGCCAAGGTCCTGAGGGTAGGACAAAATCACCTGTAAGACAGAAGGAATAAGAAGTGACCTAATCCTTCCCTGGCTTCAAAATTCCCTCTCCACTAATGAGCAATAATCTCCCCAGGTTTATTCTGCTAACAAGCGACCCCAAGTGACCCATCTCTTCCCAGTTCCTTATTTTTCCCTCCCAATAATATGCTTTCATATCTTCCTCCGAGTACAACCAACTATGGCCATTACAGCACAATTTCCCAACACCACTACTCCACCTGTGACCAGAAGCCACTCCATGAGACGATCCACTGCCACATGACAAAGCTCTCGACAAACCCTCCTGTGTGCTGGCCAGTCTGACCTCTGGCACTCTGGACCACAGTAATACACATTTTTGCACCTAAGATAATGAACCACAGAAATAAATATGATTCAGACTCAACCTCCCCAGAACAGATGTGGTCTTATCACTTAAATATAGTAAGTACCCAGTTCATGAAGAGTTTTGTTCCAGGAGAATATTTGTGAGATTCATTTGTAAGTCTGACAAAGTATACATTTGACACAAACAATGTAACGTATAAAAAACCCACATATAAAAATAGTGTAATTCTACTTTCACAATTATCTTAAAATGCTGGTACAGTATAGTAAAAAATGGTAAATAAACTATTTTTACTTTTACAGTTACCTTAAAATGGTAAGGTTAGCTGGGTGTGGTGGCGCATGCCTATAATTCCAGCACTTGAGAGGCTGAGGCAGGAGGATCACTGTTTGAGGTCTGGGCTACATAATGAGATCAAGGCCAACCTGCACTACAAAGTGAGAACTTGTCTCATATTAAACAAAACAAAACAAAACAAACCTCCCTAAAATGGGAAGGCAGTCACATGAGCGACTTCCAGTTTGTTCACATCTATGAATGCTCATAATGCAAGGTCCATTTGTATCTGTGAAAGTTCACAACCTAAATGTTCGAAAGTTGGGCATGTATCTTACTCCAGAGAAGGGCATATAGAAAAGTATTTGTTGTCTCATCTCCCCACAACACCAAAAATAAGTAGGATTACACTTATGTTCTAATCACTCTGTGACTTTTGAGTCACACAAAATGAGGAATATGGTTTAAGGGAAACTCTGAATTTCCTCTCGGAATGAGGACTTAAATAAGGTCATTTCTGAATGTCTCCCCGATTAGCATGCCACAAATCACCTCTTACAGTGCCGGAGAACCTTGGAGTTTGAAAGGCCACTAGGTAATGTTCTACAGTGAGCACAGAATCGGAATGTGTCCTCCAATCTCTGGAACATTTCTTGAGGGCATCGAAATCCAAAGCCTGATGCAGGGGTACCCCCATCTACCACCATCCTGCAGAAACAACAGGGAAAAGTGGCAATAGGAAAAAAAAAATCTCCCAAATCTCTCACGACACTTACTTTGCTTCCTATACACTTTCACATAGTTTTATGTCTCCCACTCCCATAATTTCTTTCTTAAATCTTCTCTTCTTCAGTAATAAAACTGGCAAGTCAGGATGAGAAAATCACCACTATAAATACCTATTAACCTCCATCTCCTGAAATCACTCCTACCAAAGACAATGTCTCTCTTCCACAGTTAGTCACTCACTTGTATTCTTCATAGCTTTTCATGTTCAGCTTTTGAAGAATCAGGCTGGATAGACCAGGAACATTATTATCCAAGGAGAAGAAGCCAAGGGCATCAATGCTAGGGTCAGGTGTTGTGAGGGTCAGAGGCATAGGAGTCTCAACTGTGGGTGGAGCTCCAACCACAGGAGTCACTGATGGAGGTTTCTTTTGCCTTCGCTGCCGTGAACGTGGAGCCATGGCCTGTCCAGTGATCCTGGGGACTATATGCAGAACAGATATCAATTTGCATTTGCCAAGTTGGACATAATACATTTTCAGGTGCTTTCCTTTGACTTTTCACTCCAATCGCTCAGACTCAAATTATCAGTAAGATTATTTTTTAAATTTTTTTTGAGACAGGGTCTCACTATGCAGTTCAGGCAAGCCTTGTGCTCAGCCGAGCCCCCAGGCTGGTCTTGAACTCACAGAGATCCTCCTGTCTCAACATCTGAGTGCTGGGTGTGGGGCACCATGTCCCAGGGTCGGGGCAGGCATGGTGCGCCTGGGGGCCTGGGGCCGAAACAGCAGCATGGCATGCAAGGCCAGAAATCAAACTCAGGTCTTTTGTGCTTGCCAGGTAGGTGCTTATGCCTCAGAACTATCTCCCCAGATTTATTTAGTATTTATGGATTACAGATCAGCAGTTGTGAAAAATAAAGAATTATATGAAAGTATAATTTATACATGTGCTATATATGAAGTTTTATATATAAATGTTTATGTAAGTAAGCACCCAGAGAAAGTCTGGCAGGACCCTTAGAAAACTAGTACTCCTAATTAACTGAGTAGGGAAAGAAGATAATGACATAGGAACTAGATTGATCAAAGGCTACTTATTAGGGCTGGCCAAATAGCTCAGCAGATTAAAGTTCCTGCAAGCAGGAGCAGGGGCTGGGGGTTCAATCCCTGGGCCTGCCATGCCTGCCCTGTTCCCAGGGTGCACAGAGACAGCAATTGAGACTGGGAATGGTGACACGCGCCTGTAATCCCAGCTCTTGGGAGGCTATAAACAGGCAGATCACTAGGAGTCCAATCTAGTAGTGAGACCCTCAACACCCTGTAGACCCTTCCCTAACATATAAAAAATTTTTAAAAAGGGTACTTACTTCTTTATCTGTAAATTTTTTAAATAAGGAA